TGTCAAGAATAAAAAAATAAAGAGTAATCATAAAAAATTTTGTAAAACACATCCATAGGGGCATAATGTAGGACAAACTCTAGAACTCCTCCCAAAACCTCTCTATAACTTTGAAAAACCCTCTCATTCATCTGTAACAAAATATTTGTAAAAAAATCAAAATGAGCAGCATACAAATGAACTCTTCCTCTACTGCAAAAAAGGTGGGTGCAAAAGAACATCCTTCATCATGACTCAACCACCTCTACAGGGGTCAATCAAACTAATACCAAATATCTTCAAATCCGTGTAACAAAGTGGCATCACCATACAATAATAATCCACATCTTCCCATGCTCGCTTGCAGGGAAAACCATTAGTATGAGTACTTCTGGACAAAATAGGACAAGCAGCCGAGAAAAAAATTATCTTCTTTGGAATGCTAACCTTCCATGACTCGGCAAATAAAAGTGAATATGGTGAGGGGAGTAATGGAAAAGCAGATTGGAGAAGTGGGAGATTTACCATCGAAAATGCCCGAGGAGTGGGGACTCAATGGCCCAAATATGGCTAACACCGTGATTCAAGCAAAGACCAACAAACATCTAGACGGAAACTAAGGAGGACAAATCATTGACTTTCTTGTCTGAAAAATGCCCTCCCAAATAGTTGTTACAAAGAGAATCACATGAGAAAAACAAAATCAATTGGAGAAAAAATGGAACAAACTATTTAAGGAACTGTCACTGTTCCAAGGATCCTCCCAAGAAAATAACTTGAAACCCTCCCCAATAGAGAACTTTATAACTTATTTAACTAATTAAAAATGCATCAATTAACATACACGGTAGAACTTCTTTCAATATATCTAAAAAATGTTAAAAGATTGATCAAAGAAATAATTGAGAACCTACCATCCAACGAACATCATCAGGTGATAAATGCAAAGAAGGAACCGTTCTGCGAAACAAGTAAGCCCCAATTTCTTGGTTATCCTCCATAACCTTCAACACAAACATCAACTGACACTCAGAACTGAAGTTCACTACATTCTGACTTTTTATTATAACTTGCAAGAAATCATGAGGAAGCAAAGAAAAATGTCAAGAAAACATACTTGGGTTTGTCGTCCTATGTAACGATGGAAGATGCCTCCAATTTGGAAGTTGGGTTTGAGTGCCACTAGGTCAGATATATTCATGACATTGGCAAGCAATGATGCACCCTTTCTACGATGACTCTGCATGTCTGACAACAAACTCAGTTTTACACTTCGTAGAAATTTATCTGCAAGTTCTCCAGGTTCAGCAACTACAAAAACATCATTTTGCCAACTACAAGAATAAAGAATGAGCAGGTCAGGCAGGACCAAATGAAAAGCTACAACTAAATTAGTAAACATATGACCATGTATATTGACCTTAATATTGAGCCTGATGAGTCATTTTGAAGGGCCAAATGTACGATGCCCACTTGAGGTGAGTTTTGTAACTTCTCATGCAATGCCCGTACAGGTAAGGAGAGTTCTCGGGGTCCTGAAGGAGATTCTGGGGATGATGCTGCTCCTTTACCCAATTGACCATCTAAGCTTAAAGGTGGAACCATATCAATTCGACCAAGCCTTTGTGACCCAACATCAGGACTATATAAAAGTGGGCTTGATGGAAAGCTTCCAGTAAACAATGGTGACGTAAAAGGTGTTGGGAATGTTGTTGAAGGCGCAGCCTTCAAAATCCCTGATATTCCTTGCATGAGGGATATCCGAATTCCATTTTTGGAACAAAATGCTTCAAGTTCACGAGCATGATGCATAACTCTTCCTGCATCAGGACTATGAGAAGCTTCAACCAGTAGTACATTACGCCTCCATCCCAAAGAAGGGCTATTCTCATCTAGCATTGCAAGAAAAGCAGTACAATAACTGGTTAGTTCAGTAAAATCCAAACAGATAAAAACGTTGAGCAGTCAAAATTGCTATGAGCACAAACACCTGTCATTGGTCCCTTCACCCTGGAGAAATGAAGTGAACTGAAGCTCTCTGACCACTTTTCATCATGTTGATAAGGCAGGATTAATCTCTCACAGGCATTCTTAAATGCCAGATTATTACTTTGGATATACTCCTCAACTGCAGCTTCTAACTTCAGCCAGACTGCTGGATCAGTCTCGTCCAGTTCCATATCACAACGTTCATCCACTGTTACAGATTTTAAAAATTATGGAGGGAAAAAAAAGACTCTGGACCATATATTTATTTTTGAAATAGACATGCCTCAAAATTTTGAGAAGGCAGATAACTGCAAGATTAAGCGATGGAAAGCTGATGCAGATGCTATAATCAATTAACCATGCACAGAGTAGGAACCATACCTGGGTTAAACCGGAAATAATGTATTTCAGGCAGCATAGGTAACAATGTACTCAAAGCTTCCTCCACTCGGTCCACAGAGCATGCACTCTCGATAAGCACTTGACCAGTGTCCAAATAACGCCATCCACCTTTCCTCACCTAAAACAGTCAAGACAGTTATAGAACATTAAAATAATCTAATTACACGTACAAAAAGTAAATTACCTTCATTGGAGTAGAGCCACAGCCAATGGAAACTAAGCAGTCAATTTTAGTGTCAGGCCATAAAAGTTGTGCTTCTCTTATAGCAAAGATTGTAGGATTGTTTGCCACTATGGCTCCATCTTGCCAGCGATTTACATCTTCAAAAATTTCAGAGGACCATAAATGAATATATCAAAGATGAAGAAGCATTTGATTGAAGGCAACATCTTTATCTTTATCGTCAATAGATTAAAAGTAAGAATGTCAGGGAATCATTTGTAGACCATTATGTCCACACTCACAAGTCACATGTCAAATTTCATTCATGTCATTAATTAACAATATAGCAATAAATCTAGCAACAATCAAGATAAAGATTTTTGTTTCATTCATCTCACTATGTCCACCCTACTCATCCTACTCACATGTTTTAACTCATTATTAACTTACTTTCACTTGAAAATTGCAACTATAATTCACAACACCCATAGAAAAATCACCACAAATTTAAGAAATATGTGAATTGTATTAATGTGATTTATTAATTATATGTAATCAAATTCATTTAAGAGTTATTTTGTTAAAAACTAGAATAAAATTAAAAAGCCAATGTAAGGTATTAATAATCTATAAAAGGGATAAAGAATATATTCACTTAAACAAGCACTAGGAGAAAATACCATCCGAAAAATCATCAAGATAATAAGGAGCAGCAGACGATGCTCTTATAGCTTTCCATACTTGGTGCTTGCAACTTCCAATAAAAGCACTACGCTTATAGCCCCCAGCTTGGACACCGGCAGAAGGTGATCCAAACACGGTAATTCCTGAACTGTCTGAAATTGCAAGAGGTACCTCTGGTGTTCCAACAGGATACTGAACAAATGTAAATGCAAAGCAGCAATTGCAACAATCAGATATGGGGCGATAATTTATGCAAAAGAAAACAAATTGCTTTAATTGAAGAAGAGAAAAAGCGTCTTATTTGGAGTCTTCTTCTGAAAAGAGGGTGCCGTTCAAGAGATGAATTAGGAGTTGATTTTCAATCCTTTGTAATCCCCCATGCTGAAGGGATTTGAACATGCTCCTTTATTCTTGATTCTACAGGATTGAAATTCTTGCTACACTTTGCAGTCTAATTTTGGTTGTAAATCATCTAATTCATATTGTGCGTCCTTTCTTTTAATATATAATCTCTGAGCATTACTTTTTGTTATATATATAATAATTAAAAAAACAAGGATAGAAACTTTGATCTCAGACCTGATAACTGCGGAATAAGAAAGGCTGAGCTGGTACCATGCTCACCAAGGTTGATACAACAAATACTTTGGGGGGGTTTCTAACTGCAGATTCTATTAATAGGTCTCCATCCTCGTCTGCACACATTTCCTTCAATAGCCTCTCAAACTGATCAGCACTATGCTGCAAGAAATCATCAGAATGGTATATTCCATCAATTGTTGATAATGATCAAAAGAGTCGAGCAAACCAAAGAAATGCTAGGGGTTGACAATTTTGACAAGAATTTTCTTTCAGAAAGTTCAAAGGACAACAAGAGCTTCTCATAAACTAATATATAGGGGAAGAAGCCACATCATAGACAAAATGATGCAAATATACTAGAAAATAATCGTACCTTAGATCCATGGACGACAACTCTAAAACTTTGTGAAGAACTTTTGTAAAGCTGATCCAACTTTTCTCTCCAGGAAGCAGCTTCACTGTCCTTTGGTGTAGGCTCCGCAAAGACGAGCTTCCCTATAATGCAAAATAAAATGTTTTTACCACAAATTGATGAAGTGCACAGGATTTAACCACTACTGACCCTGCATACCTACCAAGACTTTTATATATTTCTTCACATTGATCCAAAGTCATCAGCTTAATACCAAGGGCAACAGCTAGCATGCCTCCAGTTGACGTACCACATATAAGATCAAACATTTCATGTATCCGCTTTCCAGTTCCTTTCTCGATTTCTTTAAGTATTTGAACTGTTGCCAAACCTTTCATGCCACCACCATCCATTGAAAGTATTCTCAATCCTTGCTTTGCTACTTGTCTCCCTTTTAAGGCACGTCGTAAATTTTCATTCTCCCCTGCAAAAAAAAAAAAAAAAGAAAAAAAAAACAATTTGAATGGATTATTAGGACATGAACCTCAGATGTAAGAGATGATTTAGATAAAAAAGACAAACCAAGGATTGCTAGAGCCCGAGCTGCAGCTTTATACACACGCGGGTTCGGTGCAGCTGTCAATCGTAAGAGTAGTTCCCGTAACTGTTCAGAAGTAACTAGAATACGACGATTGTCTAAACAAAATGCCAAGTTTCCAACTGTTAATAAAGCAGATCTTTGCACCTGCAGAAAATGATTAGTCATTGAAAAATACATACAAAAAGAGTGGAGAAGAAAGAGAGGTTTGGTAAAATGGAGAATTTGTAGACTTGCCTCTGGATTTTTCTGGGCACATAACAATTTCAATGATTTCAAAAGATCCTTGGTCAACATTTTCTGAGATACAGTATCAGATGTGAAAGCCAACTTAGCCACAACTTGCAATACAGAAATTACTTCATCTTGTGAAACACATTTTAGAACAGATTTAATGGGCTGCATTATGTCTGCTTTCATCAACTGCATTGCAATAGAAACATCTGCAGCAAGAGAAGAAAGAGCAAAGCATGCTTGTACAACCTGCAAAAAAGTAATAACTGTTTAAAATAAGCCTAAAAAAACAAAAACAAAACAAAACAAAAACAATTCATGTGCAGAAACAGAAGGCTCACCACATGACGGTTATCACTGCTTATCATACTTATAAGCTGACGTATTGCATTCTCATCTTTACTGATAACTGCACGATTTCCTTCATCTTGCATTATTTTTGCCAGGGCAGATGCCAGTAAAGGATGGTGGCAGGAAGAAAAACGGAAAATAAGAGAGAAGAAGGCACTGAGCTTATGTCTGGATGCACCAAAATAAGAGTTATTTTCCATCTGCATATATCAAAAGTAAACTCCATCAACACAAAAGGTTATATCTAATAAGTTACTGCAATCCTTTATGTGAATTGATTTTCATAATTGTGTTCAGTACTACCTCTATTTGAACATCCACAGATCTCAAATTTTCATCTGCCACAATTCTGATATTTGCAAGAGAGAGATGGCGTAGATTGTGCAATGGCAAGATTTCAGGAAGAAATTCTAGAGGATTACCAAATAATCTAAGAACACGTAACTCAGCCATAGCCCTGTCATCAAGCTGGAGAAAATCATTAGACCCAGAAAAACTAGAGATCACCAAATACTCTTGAAACAAGAAGTAGTAACAGTGTAAAGCACAAAGCAGTAGCTGCTGACTATCCAAATAAGACAAATAACCTGAAGTCCAGAAGAGGTCTAACAAGTTTGTTGTGTTCCAATGATAACTCCACCAGCCCGACGCACTGCCTTAATTCTACTGCACACCATTTTTCAAAAATCTAATAAATATGGCAGACGATGTATACGCCTATGAGAGGCTCGCTTTTACTTGGTCTAAATCAACTTAGCAATGCCTTGACAAGTTTTAAAAAACAAGACTTACCAGGTACAGAAATCAGAAAGTTGGAATCAACCCGGAGCACCTTCAAACTTTTGATCTCACCGAGCTCAGGAGGCAAAACTGATAGTTTATTGTTATCAAGGTACAATTTCTCCAGGAGTGGCAATCGAGTTAAATCTGCTGGCAGTACCTGGAATGAACACAGATTAATAAACTAAACCTCAAACGATACTTCTAACCGACCACATCAGTTAAAATGATTGATCTACCAAAACGGAAAAGCAACAAGCAGACGAGTGTATAAATCAAAATCCAAATATAATTTATCAATCAAAAGGCGACCAACAACGTTGCAAACTCCCATTGCTTAATACTAAAATTTGTTTCTAAAAACTAGAAAATCTAATGAAAACCGCCAATTGCAATAAATATACTCGCAGCAGGGGAAGCTGATTAGTAATATAAAATGCCATAAACAATTACCGACAAACCACAACCACAAAGATTGAGTAGGGTAACGGTTTTCCAGTGCTCGCCGCAACCAGTCCCCACGTCGCCGGAGCCTGGCTTCGTCGGTTCCAAATTCGACCTCAACAACCGCGCCAGAACGCCAATCCCATCATTCTGCAGCCCGGATCCCGCTGACTTCGTCATCGTCACGGCTCTAAGAGGCTCCCTCCTCTTCAAAACCGTCATATCCACATCCACATTCTCTTCTTCTTCATTATACTTCAATTCCACCAGCACCGTGTCCTGCGGCACCGGCAAGGCAACCATGAGCTGAGACTGGAGCCTCAAAGCCACCTGATCTTCGTCATCCCCAGCCGACCAATCCAAATTAACCCGATATCCAAGGTCCTGAACCTGCGTCGAAATGGACGACGGCGACGAAGAAGAAGACGAAGAAGAAGAAGAAGAACACGATGACGACGAGGAAATTCGCTCGGGATTTTCCGCATTCTCTTCCGAACCATAATTTAGTGACAAATGAAAAATCTCAGATAGCCGCTTCCATCCCAATCCCCAGGACATTTCAACAAAATCGCGATTATTTACAAATTCGCGATGATCCAATCGACCAGTGGAAAAACCAAAGTCAAATTACACCTGGTTCACGGCATAATATGAACATCAATGCTCTTAGACGCCGGAACGAGGCACTGTTTCCAAGTACAATCAGAATTTTCTCGGTAGAAAAAGCCGAGATTGATGATCGGAGAGATTGACGACGGGCATTCATGCGAGTTTATGGATTCATTCTTCTACTAGGAGACACCAGAAGAAGCTGACACAAACGTTTAAGCGTTCGAGAGTTCTTCCGATTATATATTTTGATTTTCCGTTCCCGCAAGCAAGCACGCAATTTGGGTGAACGATGCGACGTCGTTTCCATTCCCCGCTATTTTTTTGGGTCTAGAGTTATCTAATAATTTTATTAATAAATTCAAAATTAAAATAAAAAGTTTTAAGGATAAAAAAGAAATCTTGCATATTAAAAAATAATAGTCATGATATTTGTTCAAACGATTTAAAATAAGATCTTGATTTCTTTATGTTGATGTTACTAAATGGGGAAGTTAAATTACATTTTAAAATTTTCAAAATTAAAACAAAAAAGATAATGATGTATTACCTAAATACACACAATAAACATATATTTTTAAGTATGGCTTTGAAAAATGAAAAATCAACATAATTTTTATCAATTTTAAATTCACATATAATATAAAATAAATAAGAAATATTCACTTACGCAGTATTTGAAAAAAAAACAAAGTCATTGTTTTTATTTTGTTTGTTTTGTTTATTGCAGAACTAAAACCAATAAATATTTGAAGTTTTGCATTTATTACCATTATTCGAAACTTTTTTTTCTTAATACTCAAATAGTCATAGCTTTAAACATCAGAATAATTGGCATATAGTTCAAACCAAGAGGTAATCAATCTCCATTCTCACGTGTACTAAAAAAACGTCAGTGTAATCAAAATTTAAAGTTATTTTATTTTTTAAAAAATAAAAATTTAAATTAAATAGTTAATATGGTTGAAATAGTGATGGTAAGATTTAACCATCTGTCCTAAATTTTTTTTAAATATAATTAAAGTAGGAATATGAATTTCAATCTCCAAATTGAAACTTTTTCTTACTTATTATGGATTTTAAATTATATTATTTTAATACAATAAGTGGAAATAGAGAATTCGAATTCATAACTTCTTGATAAAAATCAGTATAAATTATTAAAATCAGGCTTACGTGAACATTATGTGGGACTTTTGAATCAAAATAAAGTTAGGAAAGTATGATTTTATTGTTTCATAGAGATATAATTTATCCTAAATTTTTTATCATACTTCTCTTTATTTTTAAATACTTTTAACTTACTTTTTAAATCAAAATGAAGGTACAATAAAATAGTTAGATTTTGACGGTGATCTCAGAAAAGGCATAGTCTTACGATGTACACAGCGCAACTAACGTCACGCAAGCAACATGAGAGGGGAAGGGGTGGCTGTTTTAATACATAAAGTTAATATTTTAAAGCTTACTTAATTAACTTCAATAATTTGATTCAATTCGTATAACATATTAAATCAAATAAAATTTTTGACATTTTAATTCGAAACAAGTGTCTTAATTAATTGAACTAAATTATCTCTAAAATATTTGTGAGTTTGAATCGTATTCTATATGTTGCACTAAATAAAATATTTATTTAATCGATTCTATTTTTTTTCAACAAATAATGAATTACGAGATCTAATTCTTAAAAGAATATAGGTATCTCGACCAATGAGATACAACATTAATGATAGCAAAGGCAATCAAAACCTTGACCTCTTGATAAAAGCCATAGTTTTTTCCCCCTCTTTGACACATTGGAGTTATCAGTTTTATAAATTCAGGAAATCTTAAAAAGACTGGCAACAAAATTAATTAAAAAGTTGCTGTTGGCTTTAATTCAAACAATTTGAAATATAATTACACACACCAATGGTTTCTAGAAGGTGCTGTAAGACCAAATCATGTTGACTCATTCGAGGAAAAACAATCAAATGCAAATAGATAAATAAAATATATTAATTGATTTTATTAATTGGAGAGCTTAATTTATTCAACCTCGTCTATTTGTCAAGTTGACTTTCTTAACCACGAGAGACTTGGGATGATGAAGAAGTCATAGGTCGACAGTTCCCATTTTTGTATTTTTAATTGCTTGAAATAATAATTAGAAACAGTACAATTGTGCTTTGTTTTCCCCCAAAATAAATGTTTAAATTAATCCATCCAATTCAATTATTTGATGAAATAATATGTTTAACCATAGTATTTTTTTTACAACAATTTGAAAATATGAGACATTGAATTAAGCTACACCCTTGACATGTTTAATCATAGTATTGCCTCAAATTTATAATTATCTTCAATTTTTTACAACAAAAAATTGTAAACTATATCAACAATTCCTTTTGATTTTGACTAAAAGTTCCCAATCATTTTATAAACTTGTAATATTCAAATTAAAAAGTTCAATGGATAATTTTTTTTAGTACAACATATAGGTTGAAGATTTGAACTCTCAACCTCATAGTTTGATACAGGTGTCTTGACCCGTTCAACTATATTCTGATTAGTAATTTGATAGATAAGTTAAAGTTAGTTATAGTAACATATCCTATATCCTTATAAAATTTAAAATAGTTATGGGTGATACTGAGAGGTTGATCCTACCCACAATAATAATAATTATGCATAAGTTTTTTTCTTTTCTTTAGAGAACAATTATGTATGAGTTACGAAACAAGGCATCCATAATAAAATAATATTATTATAAGTTAGAAAACAATGAAAATAAACAAATGATGAAGATACAGATCTCCCACCAAAAGATCTTGAATTAGAATTTCCACATTGGTTGTTATATTATAAAAGATTATCACAGTGCATTTAACATTTTAGCACTATGAATTTAGAAATCATGAAAAATGTTTATCAAACTTAAATCATAACAGGTGAAAAAGTTTAAAATATTTGGTAGGACCATAAATCAAATTTGATTATTTAGAAGTCCATTTCATAAATAATTATCTTCTCAAATCTTCCGGTTTGAAAAAAGACACAATGTTCTCATTTTGCAACCTTAATTTTATATAATGTAACGCTCGACTAAAATGAACCGATACCACATTCGAATGAGAGCGATCCTAAGACCATAAAAGTATGGTTAAGAAAACTTAAAAAAATGATATTGAAGACTAAGACAAAATAAAATTCCTGCTTATTTTATTTCATTATAAGCAGACCATATATATAGGCCACTGGAATATTACATCCAATAATATAACAAACTTCCTACCCGTGAAACTAATACAAAACTAACATAAGTCTAATAGTTATTACCTATACTAACAAGGTGTACATTCTTTTTCGGTAACTCAATCGTAAGGACTCCAAAGTTAAGCGTGCTTGACTTCGAGAAATCTTCGGTTGTATCTATAGGGATAGTCTACGCTCTTCTAAGTAGCGATGCCGGGGTAAAGAGGTACCAAATCCGGATTCCAAATCCTGGTCCGAATCCTGAGCTTGGGGCGTTACATATAATTATAACCGAATTGTTATATGTTTCAAATAAACTACAAATGAATGAGTTTAGGTTATTTCCGACTAAGAAGTTATGGATTCAAATTTTCACTCTATTTTTGTATTAACTTAAAAAAAGAAAAAAATTCACAAATAAACTAAAAAAAATAGAGTAAATTTAATCGTACATATGTATCTCATCATTCTCCCTTGCTCGTGGGATTCGAAAGTTTTAACGAATTAGTTCACGCTCTAATACCAACATACCTACTAGACACGGTTGAATTAAAAATTTAATTGATGGACAATATATATTTCATAAATTTAATAATTAGTTATTACATTTTAAAAGTTGTTATTAATTTGAATTTAGCTATAACTCGATGTGATTTTAAAACATTCAATTTAGTTAAAATTTATTCTTTAAGTTTTACAAATTTCTTTAAATTATTTATACCCACTAAAAAACTCAAATTTTAAAAATTTATTTTTGTATTCAAAATCAAAACTAATTTAATATTCACTATCAGAAGAACGTTCGCATATTAGCGAATAAAATATTTACTAAAAAGCTAATTTAACTGGAAAAAAAGAAGAAAAAAGAGAGAAAAAAAGGGAAGAAATTGCGACCGAAATTATCCTCTCCCTTCCGCAAAGAGGGACATCATTTTGCTCTCATCAACCCATCCCGGCTCCATAGCCTCCAAGGGATGGTGGCTTCCATTAATATAGCTCTGGTTGCTGCCATTGGTTGCCGTGGCCTCAGCACATCACAAACCCTGCGACGCACATTCGCAAGAACTCGTGCTAATCTCAGTGCTTTCTGCGACAATTACTTGGCTGTTCCCCGTTCTCCGAAGAGCAGTGTGTTCCGCTGTGAATCCTCAATAGCAGATGTTACTGTTGCACAAACTCCGACTTCTTCTGCAGAAATTGGGTATTGCAATTTTAGACATTTTTAGTTTACTTTGTAGTTTGATGGCTAGTTCTATCTTGTTTCCAGTTTCGAAGTATCGGAAACGGGAGTACTGTTGTTTAGTCGCGCTTTCACTTCGTTTATTCATAGGTAGACCGAAGAAATCATCCAAATTAAATCGTTTCACTGTTAATTTTGTGGTTGTGGGAGATTTCATTGTTAGTCGTCGCAACATTTCTAGTTTTTCTAACACGTTGTCCCATAGAATCTTATTTATCTCTGCAAATTGCTTGTGTTGCGGCAAAAGTGTTGCCGAATGAAAGCAAGTTGGAAGGATTTAAGTTTAAAGAAAGTCCGTGGCTCGAACTATGGTAATTATATATGGACTATGAATAATGAGCATTGAACCCCATATTTACTGGCTAGCACTGAAAATTGTGGTTTTGTTTGGTTCTGTCAGATATGGGAAAAAGTACAATGTTTCTCGACACATTTGCTGATTAGTGATTGCTCCCTTAGCTTGCTTGTTTTATTAATGCACGTGCAGCGATCTATGATTTTTTGTTGGATTCTTTTTCATTTTCCCAACCCCTGTAATTGAATTTCCTTTCTACGATTCCTTGATTCCTTTAGGATTTAGCATGCTCAATCTGAAATTGATTTCAGATTCCCTCAATATCATCGTTTGCTTCCATGTCCCTCACTCAATGGACCACCAAGAGTTGAACATCTGGTCGTTTTGGAAGGGGGGCCTGTCATGGAGTACATCTCTAAATCCCTCGATCTTCCTCCTCTGTACGTTCTATTATCTTTAAGTTGTTCATAATAATTGTTGCTGCAACAATGTTGAAGTCAAATTAAGATGAAGCAATGAATTAAGAGTTTCATTGTTTGAAGGTATGTTGCAGATCTCATTCATTTTGGTGCAGTATATTATGCCCTAGTATGCCCACGGCCCCCGCCAACTGCAACCCCTGAGCAAATTAGACTATTCAAAAAATTTACAGAACCATCATTATTGAGAGGGCGAGCATCTATCAAAGGGAAAACGGTAAGAGAAGCACAGAAGACTTTCCGGATAACTCGTGTTGATGAGTTTATGGAGGTTGGAACGTATTTGCGTGTTCACGTGCATCCTAAACGCTTTCCAAGGTAAAATGAGCCACCTGTTTTTCTTTTCAAAAACGAATATGATGTTCATACTGGGTTGATGCTAGTTGCAATTTACAAGTAATCAGGTGCTATGAAATTGATTGGAAATCAAGAATTATTGCTGTGAGAGAATCCTATGTGGTTTTGGACAAACCTGCTGGTACATCGGTCTGTGGTAACACTTGAACCATTAATCTTTAACTTGTTTTGGTATTGAATTTAAGGAATTAACTTCATTTCCTTATGCATGTGATAGCTGTCGGTTGTTGCATTATTTCTTCTTGTTACATTCTGCAAGATTTGATGAAAACTAGTGCAGGCATGTTGGCGATATGGATAAATTTATTCAATAGGATGGCATAATATATTAACGTCAAAATCATTTAGTTCAGTACTCATTCGTTAGTTATCAAACACATATTTAGCTACTAAACATGACTGGTATTATGTCAGGTTGGAGGCACTACTGACAACATAGAAGAAAGTTGTGCAACTTTTGCAACTCGTGCTTTAGGATTAACATCTCCCTTGTGGACTACCCATCAGATTGACAACTGCACTGAAGGCTGGTAATGTATCTTGTAGGTATTTTTATCTCTACTGCCTTATAATGAATTACTCGTATTAAGTCATTTACACTTTTTTGCAGCATCATTCTGGCAAGGACAAAAGAATATTGCTCTGTCTTTCATCGTAAAATCAGAGTAAGTTTTATTGTATCATTTCTTTCTTCAATTGGGCCATTATAAATTAAGTTACCATACTAACTGGGAAGCCCATTCCATGAAAATGCTGAACTGAAAATGCAGAGTAAGGAAGTTTTAACTTTTAATCCCAGTTCACCCACTCGTTTTTTAGTGCATGCGCATTATTATTTCGATATAGAATAGTTAAATGTTCACACTTAAACCTTCTTTAAGCTCACCATACTGGTAAAAGATAAAAGGGCTCCTACTGTCCTCTCTCTCTAAGTATGAAGTTTATCTATGATAAGAAGGTCCATCAAGGGAACGAGAGTGAAAACTAATCATAAGCTTTGCATTAAGACTGTTATTTTAAACCACTTTGCAAGGAGGTGGTGTAAGATAAAAGGAATAAGGATGGATTTTATTTTGAGATATATTCGTGATAAACAGGGTGCATGAGTTGAGTTATTTTATTGTTGTTGGGAGAATATCTAATATACATATTTGACATTTATTACTTAATTTATTTGTCCCCATCCGTTTCATTTCTTAATTTGATTGGAATGCTTCATATTTTTTTCTTAATAGGAGAAAAAGGTTAAGAAGCTTTATCTTGCTCTTGCTGCTGCTCCTGTGCCAATAGGAATAATAACACACTATATGCGACCAATTAATATGGCTCCAAGACTTGTTTCAGAAGGTAAGTCTCTCAATCAAGCATTGAAATAATAGTTGGATGTTGCTCTGAATTATTTCTTGCAATTTGATATCTTGAGGGGATAGATGTATACCGCTTGATAATTACTTTGCAGCCATTAGCTCTTAGAATATCAGTCTTTAATATTCTGCCAGCAAATTAATGTGCAAATGATTGTCCTTGTGGTATAAATATTTTAACTCCCTCCCAACCCAACACCTACGGTGGTGTCACCCTCAGCCTCCTACCCCAGCCCTAAATGTATCCAGACTAAGATGTGGTTGGCCGTTTAAGTCCTTTTGCTGCTTGCAGATTGTATCGATGGATGGAACTTGTGTCAGCTTGAGGTGTTGGAATGCAGAGAGGTTCCATGGCCGGTTGCTGATATTGAAGCAAAATACTCTATTGAAGAATGTGGGTGGCCATCCAAAAAGAAAGCATATGAATGCAAAATCAACCTCTTGACTGGTCGGACACATCAGGTTCTTAGCGTAGCCATTTTATTTCAGTTGTTACCTCTGTTCTTTGAAAACCATCTTCAGAAATTCTTGTATCCAGACTTTTGACCGTTATTTAAAATTGTTCTTAAAATGCCCCCAAGGGCGGCCCCATGGTTTGAGGTCTCTTAGTCATATTGGTTTAGAGGTTGCAAGTTCGAATTTTTGGGCGAGCTTAATACAAAAAAAACTCTTCATGTCTTCCGGGTCTAAGCTTTGGACGGACATGGATGCCCCTGGGTTTGGGCAACAAAGCTGCCGACTCCGGGAAGAAAGAAAAGAAAAGAAAAGAAAATAAAATTGTTACTAAAATAAATACGTTGTTGTTTCCTGATGATATGCAGATTCGAGCACAATTGGCCGATTGTGGAGCACCATTGGTTGGTGATTCCATGTACATGCCTGCGGCAGTTGCAGAGACGACTAATCCTGGGTTGAATCCATTTGGAAAATGTCAGAAACAGTATACAAGTGAAGAAGATAAAGAAATGGATGTGACAGAGTGGATTGCACGACATGGAAAAGAACCAGCTGTTGCGATTGGACTTCAGGCTTATGAGATTTCTTGGGATGCTGGGGAACACGTTTACAATGCTGGGATCCCTTGGTGGAAGCAAGAACAATTATAGCTCGATATCGACTCCAAGTAGCCGTTTTGCATTAGCCAAAATTTCTCAAATCTGTAAGGTTATTCCCACCACCAACATCACTCACACAAGAGTAGAAGAAAATACTCTCTATGTTGTATTGCTCTAGAATCAAGTTTTTTATATACAAAGATACCAAGCCATATACAACCAGCTTAGTATATTTCTTAACCAACGGAACTAACAGCATTCAATAATCAAATCATTTGTGTACAGGCAATTACATAAAGCAACCCTCATATAGTTTATGTCTCTGCTTGCTCAGATCACTTTCCTGGACTTACACAAGTGCGCTGACATTATTGAGGATCAAATTCTGGGCAATGAATTTTTTGTACCAAAAGCTTGACAGCTTTGGAGTTCTCTTCAGAGTCCCATAATCTACATGGTAAAGCCCGAACCTTTCCGTGTATCCACTTGTCCATTCAAAGTTATCCATCAAAGACCAGGCAAAGTACCCTCTCACATCTGCTCCGTCCCTGAACAAGCCACCACATTAAATACAACCTGGACAAGCCTCAATCATCGCTACACATAGAGAAACTCTTGCTTTCTATTGGACCCTCGGATGTAGTTCAATTCAAACCCTTCATTCTGTACTCGATGGATGTAATCAAGTTTGATGCTATACGCATGATTTCAAAAGTATAGTATATTAGCGATCCTCCAAGCATTAGATCCTCTCGTCTTTTCCCAATCATGGAGTTATATTCGAGATTCTTTTTGGCTAAATGCCTTTTTGTATGCCCCTTTTACAAATTGTGGGTCAAAATGTCGTGTGTTTTTTTTTTTTTGCCAAATTTTCCCTCCCTCAGTATACTAGTTGCTGAAGTGAAATCATTCTCTAAAACAGATTTTTATGTTTTTTGACTGTGGAGGAAAATAGGGACTAGTAGTGAAATTTAGGGAGAGTTTCCTTGACCTTTGAGACCAGGTTAAGATGATTTGAAAAGATTTCTAAAAATTTTCTCAGACCTCAGTCAGATGTCTTCGAAATTGTTTCATGATTTCATGGATGGCCCTTTCACTACAAGGTTGGTAATGCTCTCAACTACAAACAGAAAACATACATATTTTTCTTTAAGAAAAAGGGGATGTGATAATGAACAAGGGCATTGACAATTTTCAAATGCAAATTAGAAATAGAGAAGGGAAAAGATGGAATCTATATATAAGATATGGTGAGAGTCTATGCTTGAGAGAAAATGAAATGAAAGGAGAATATTGATGGAAAAAACTAAAGAAGTAGATGACGTATTTCAATAGTATCATAGCATTGCTTATACCTCATTGATGTTTCCAAGGCATCGAGGTAACTGCTCATATAATTTACTCTTCCTGTATCATTGAGTATATCTTCAGTTTGAGTATTGGGTTTGTCCTTCTCCCCATAACCTGCATGAAAACGCAACAGTTTCATCGCAAGGAAAAGGTTCAAATTTTGTTCTGCCTTCTAATCCACCTACCATTTTCTGTTATGAACATTGGTATATTATTGTATCTCTCCATTATGTATGTAACCATCTTGTTCATTCCTTGAGGATTGACAAATAGCCAGGAAATTTCAGTCTACATCAAAATGGAGAAACATTTTCAAGTTATTTTGCCTGATATGGATGATGGGCGTTAGAGGACAACATTTTCAGAATTGCTTACAGCTTCTCCTATTGAGATTTCTTCCTTCATTTGGGTCAATAAAGCAAAACCTTCTATCTTAGACGACCCCTGTCCCGGTTCACAGGCAGAAAAGAGGCAGTCTTTTATGTAGAAGCTGGTATAGTGATTGATGCCAATGAAATCTGTTCCATTCTTCAGCTTCTTCTGATCTTTAGTTGAAAAACTGGGCAAATCAGGTCCCAAAATTTCCTCCATCACTGCTGGATAGTTCCCAAATACAACTGGCTCCAGGAACCTGCATTTGAGTTTTAACACTGGAATTTGTTTAAACATTTAGCGGTAATGATATGATATGATATGTAGTTTTATTTTTATTTTTCTTTTACAGGGGAAATGAAATGATGTTAACTGTGTAGGAAGTAATGAAATGAAGGCCTTGAGTTTTACCAACTCATGTAAAAAGATAGAGCTCTCTCAGCTGCTAATTTGTCTTCAAATGAGTCGCTGATGGGTTCCAGCCACATAGCATTTATAACAATTCCAATAATACCTCCTTGTTTGGCCTGAAAGCAAGATCAATTTAATCGAACAGATTCTCTAGGAACTTGATGGATAGACAAAGTCTTCATTAATATAACATTTTAACAGTACTGTCGAAGCAATTCTATGTATGTATAGATTCAAAATATCATGTCAGGTAAACTAGATCAATATTTTTCCATTCCTATAATTTGATTAGTTGCTTACCTGGTATATGGACCTGTAAGTGTCAACAGCAGCAGCATGAGATAGAACAATATTGTGGGCAGCAACAAAGGGTTCTCTTTCTGAGTCTCCGCTCCTGCATTTGCCAAACGATCCTGAGCAACGGGATGGAGGGAATACGCCTCTCCTGTAGCTGCGAATAACCTGAACATTTGGCTCATTGAAGGTGGCCCAGTACTTGACTCGATTACCAAATGATTTAAAGCAGATATCAGCATAATATCTGAAGTCCTCCCTGCAAAACAAGAAAGCAAGAAGTTCTTTTATTCAGCATCAGCAGGACTTATGGGCAAAAGATGTTCAAAACTAGAGCAGAATTGGCAGAATATTGCTAGTTTGCATCATACTGCACTTGGGGACTCAGCCAGGCTCCATATCTATCTTCAAGTTCCTGAGGGATGTCAAAGTGAGCCAATGTCACAAATGGTTCTATCCCTGAAAGCAGACATATGTATGTCTTTGTTGTTATATCATATGGGATTAGTGATGATTGTTGAAGTGGCCATCAACTTATCAGGACATTTAGAAAAAAACCTCTTTCAAGAAGAGAATCAATGAGCTTGCTGTAATGATTAATCCCAGCCTTGTTCACCTTTCCAAGCCTTCCTTCTGTAAGTTTATAATTCCAAAAGTTATAAGAGATGATTATATGCCAAAGTCTAGAGTAGAGCCAAGTTCTTGACTAGAAATGGAAGCTTACTGGGCAGTATTCTTGCCCATGAAATAGAGAAGCGGTAGCTGTTGACTCCAATAAAATCCATAAGATCAAGATCCTCCTGTTATTTGCTCATTTTCCATAAAAATGTCGACCAAAACATTAAGCAGAGGAGAGAGAGAAGTGAGCTATTCAGCTGAAAGAGCTCAGAAAGTGAGATGAGAGTGACGTTTAGAAGCTTGAGGAGAATGATTTCAAATACTAACCAGATAACGATGATAGTGATCAACAGAAATATCTCCATTTGTTCCATCCTCAATATTACCTGCCAATAAAAAAAAAAGGAAACTTTCTGAATATTATGATGAACAGATGAAGAGGGATGGAAAAACAAAAGGGAAAGAAGCATCAAAATGATGCAAAGAGGACCAATCTAACCAGGATCATGAGTAAAAACATCCCAGTTGTTGAGGCCTTTACCCTCACTTAAGAAAGCTCCTTCAAACTGAAAGACAAGAAAAACACTGCTCAAGAAACAAGCAAAAATAAAAGCAAGAGAAGAAGAAAACAGAGTAAACCTGATAGGCAGAAGAAGCAGTTCCAAAGAGGAAATTGTTTGAGAACACGTTTGAACTCGAACTCGAACTCAAACTCTCTTCCAACACCTCGTGACTATACGACCCCAGAAAAGCAGAAAAGATCACCAACACCCAGAGAAAAATTCCATAAAGTACCAAAGAAAACTCCATAATAGAGAGAGAAACAGAGTTCCTCATAAATCAAAACAGAGCAATCTGCAAGATAAAGGCGAGCGGCAGTGCTCTGATTAAGGCTACTGCCGCAGAAAGGTAAGAGAAAACGACATTCCCTTGTGTACAAATGGAGCTGGTTCTTAGTATACTGATCAGCAATCACATCAAAGTATAAAGTTACCGAAAATGGTAGTATCAAGAAAAGCTTCAGTTTCTATAATGAATCCCATATTATGTGATTAGAATTGGATTTATGCGTAGAGATAGCTTAGAGCCCACCCCACCACTCCAAAATGAATTAATTTTACTGAATCAGAGCAGTCTGGGACAAGTTTTCAGTTTGATGAAGGTTGAGGTTGAAGCTTGATGTAATGGGGGCAATTGGGGGTCCCTCCATGCCATTAGCTTTCCAAAAGAACCAACGATTTTACGAGTAAATTATTGATGTAACAGAGTCGTGGGCCAGCTGCCTAATGGTCAATTTGATGCTTATGAGAAAGCAACAAAAACATCCAAAAACTAATAGTGAGATGAATGGTTGAGTGACCTGATCTATGACTAAGATATTATCTTCAAAAAAGTGTAGCTTTAGACATTCATTTTGACAGTAAATAATGGTTTCTTTTATCAGTTTTTGAGTAGTGTTCTTCAGTAGCATCAGATGGCAATATAATTGCAATTTAAGTGGAATCTGGTCTCTCACTTTGCTTTGTACTGCGTGTGTTGGCTCGGCATGCATTATTGGGGGCCGCTCTGCTCCTCCTCAAACTAGACAGAAATCGACATCTCGTACCGTTGGAGATCGAAAAATTTTCAACTACTCAGGTGACATCTACCCTTTTATTTACTTGACACTCTGAAATTTTTATTTTGAATAGGGTCGGAATTTAAATTCACGATCTATCTTTTGATTGGAGATAAACACTCATTTGAACTATAGTTCAAATAATGGCGTAATTTTACTTTATAATTAATATTTTAACGTACTTTTAGATGCTCTAATATTTTTAAACAAAGCTGATATTGACGGCAATGCCCTGGAATTATATCTGTACTGTGTGCACGGGAGTCACATCTAGACAATAGATGGGACTGTTTTGGTATTTTTTATTTTTTAATTCAAATTAGTGCTTTTAGGACTTTTTTTCTTTTTTTTTTTTTGAAACAAGTTTTTCTAGAACTTGTTCTTTAGTAGAGATATTGTGAAATTATTTATAGATCCGTAACGGTAACGCAAAAGCAATTTTCGTTGCTTTGAAAATTATGCCATTTATAACAAGYGGCAACAAAACGTAAACAAAACCTAATTAACGAAATATATTTCTATTTTTTTAAAAGAATAATAGCCCTCTAATTTTTCGATTCTATTATCTATATATTGCTTTATTGCAAGTTTATTTTTTCAAAGAATATTACCTTGTTTATTTAGAAAATATACTTCAAAAATTATATATTTTGTAAACCTCCCACAGCAGCATATTCTTGTGGTGTTAAAATATTTCTCTTGACATTTAGATTTTTTTATTTTTTTTATTATTTTTTGAGTTAAACAGCACGAAGATTTCTCAACCAATTGAGCTATTTTCTTGACAAATTTTCTTAATTTTATTTAATCCATAAAATTTTCTCCACTACATAATTAGGGTGTGTTTGGTTCGTGATTTGAAAACAATAAATTTAATGAAAAATAAAGTTGTATTACATGTTTTCAATATTTTCAAATATGTATTTGGTAGCATATTCAAAAATTGATCCCAATTTAAAAAAAAAAATTCTCAATAATATTTGTAAGCTAATGAAGTTACCAACTAAATATTTACGCCAACCTAAAATAAAATCAATCAATTTATTAACATATATTTTATAAAATTATTATTTTACAATATTACATAATTTATAATATATTATATATTTTTAATTTTAACAAAAATGAAATGTATTTATAAGGTGAAATAATATATTTAAAAAAAATTTAATGTAATTTTGCATTTTGAAATTTCAAATTCAAAATCTAAAAATACTAAAAACATACCAACATTTCAGGTTAAATAAAGTGGTTGGTCGGGTAAAAATAGAACCAACCCAAAAATCTAATCGAGTTAGTTTGGTTATGAAAATATTTAGTTCGGGTCATTTTGACCCGACCAACCTATTTATTTAACGTGGATCCATGTTCAACATTTTTCTCTCTAGCTTCATTCCCTCTCTCTCGAACTACAAAGGTAGGGCCAGGGAGCAAAGCAAGAGAAAAAAAAGTGGGACATGGATCTTTTTCAAATTGCTTAGGGTTGGTTTCGCTCAAAGAAAGGAAAGTATAGTCCACTACGCCAACATACATTTACTTTAATAATATTCTATTTCATATTACATAAAAGTATAATAAGTTTTTCTTTTTATAAAGTAACATTGTCGTCTCTCATATAAATGCATGACTAGTAAGAAATGATCGTATTTTATTTTATTTTTCAAAATCAGACATGACGTTAAGTACTAATTAAAATACAGGGATAGTCGTCTTTTCAATAGACGACATATTGAAATTTAGTAAAAATAAAAGTATACTGTCGTTTCTTCAATAGACTACCTGACTGTCATGTCACTAGATCGTCTCTCGAAGAAACAATGAAACAAACAACTATTTGAAAATATTATTTTCTGAAATATCTGAAATAGTTGGGTGGATAATATTCCATTTGAAAAGATTTTAAAAGAAACATTATTAAAAGAAAATTCCACTATTTACAGCCGTCGGACGCCGTCGCACAGTTGCCGTCCGATATGTCTCGAACCTCAGTCTTCCATCTCGGTTTTCCTCTCTCGTTGTCTCCCATTTTGCTGCAGTGCCAAAGCAAAAATCCAGCGATGATTTATCTTCGCGTGAGTAAATAGTCTTTAATGGGCATCTAAAAGTCTCTTAATTTCTTGTAACTTACTAGTATAAGTACGCTATATGAGTGAGCGATGACCCATTTTGAAATTCTGAAACTTGTCTTCTTCTTGCTTTGCGATAATTTTCTGCATCACTTCAGAAATTTAAACGTTTATCTTCTGCTGCATCGGTTATTTTACTTTCCAAGTCTCAATTTTCACTTCTCATTTACAGTCTGAATTCATCTCATATTGATGTGTGAAATTAGTTTGATGAATGTCTACTTTTCGAGTTTGAAATTGAATGGATGAATTCAGTTTTTACGTACGTCGATTGCTTTAATTTGTTGGGGGTCTAAAACCCTAAACCCGCACACTATTTTCTTGAATTATGGTCACAATGAACAATTGACGCATTGTACAGCTCGCTCGCGGCGTTGCCGTTCGAGTCACAGAGGAGCTATTTGTAGTTGCAGTAAGTGCAGGCCAGATTATCATAATTTGAAATTGTTGCTTTAGCTTGAGAAAAGTTCCAATTTGGGTGAGCAATGGCGTATGGCGTTCCAGCCACAGCGGCTGGCTCGGGATCAACTTCTTCGATCAGGCAGGTCAAGCTGGATAGAGAGAGCGAGCTCAGGATTGAAGTTGGAAGCGACTCACCTCTCTATTTACGTTTATTCTCCGGTAATTCTGAGATCTTCGGCACGGAGCTTTCTCCTTAAACATGGCTCACTTTACCACCAAGTGTGAAAATTGCTGTAAGCTTTAGTAATTTACACTCTTTTGCTGCACATTTTTGCATTATTGTCTTTCTTGGTTAGTTTGATTGCGTTGTAACAGAATTAACAGGGTGAAAAATGATATTGTTTTGAGTGGATGCTGGAAGTGTTATAGGGGGATATCTGAAAGGAAAAGCTAAGATCTTATGGAGTTGTGCGAGCTTTGCTTTGGGCTATTTGGAAGGAAAGAAAGCTTTGCTTTGGGCTATTTGGAAGGAAAGAAACCAAAGAGCTTTTAGCAATACTTCTATTCCTTTTCCTTGCCTTGAGTTTGTTCTCCTCCTTTTGTTCAATATATTCAGTTTCTTATCCAAAAAAAAAAAATGCTATTGTTTTCAAAGTTTTTGAAACTTTTGTAATTATTTCATCATAAGCCAGCCATTTAGTTTGAAAATTGTATTTGGACGGCTCTGCGTTGACTTATAGTTTTTCCATTATGTTATTCTAAGTTTTGAGTTGGATGTAAAAGGTTTTCACTTGGTAGGGAGCCATGCTTGAAATGGACGGTTCAACTGAATTTGATTACACGGCAGATGAGGAATAAGTTTTGCTGTTTTACATAAGCTTACGAAGGAGATAGTCTTCTCTTCACTGTACTAGCAGGCAGTTTTTTCCTCAATGGCTAAGAACCAGTTCTATATTGTTTATCTACAGACACCCATGACCAATTATGTGAATGTCCATGCCGTACTTGAAGGAAGAAGAAGCTGTGAGTGTCTTAGATGCATCGATCAGGAATGGTTGTCTCAACTAGTTTTTCAGTTTTGTATTTTTGCTTGTGAAGAAGCTTGCCCAAGACTTGGGAGAGGCTATTTCAATCTCGAGCTGCTGGTATGGTTATCAACACAATGGGATGGATCGAGGAAGCCTAGTTTTCATTAATCATTGCCATTTGAAAGGCTCAAAACAGAATAATGTTAGAACAAATTCAGGTTTGACTTGCTCTACCCATAACAGTGGATTATGGGCAAATTTCAGTAGAAAATTGTCAGGTTTGACCTGCTCTACCCATAACAGTGGATTATTTTATTGTCAAGTTTTATTTTTATTATATTAGTGAATTTATAATTGATACTAATTAAATAATTATCTAAATTCTAAGGATTAAGGTTTAATTGTAGCTTATACTTTTAAAGTAGTTTTGGTGCGTTTGTCGTCACTTAAATATTATTGTAGCTTATAATTGAGGTGAGATATTGGATTTGAGATTGGTTTAGGTTTCTTTGGCGACGCTTAGACACTACTTGAACTAAACTCTTGACTTATTTTGCTGCTAGTTTGCATACTTGAACTTAATTATGTTTTTACCTAATTGGTTTATTTTACATTTGTGTTCCAAGTTCTTTTGATTTTGTCTCGAAGCTTTAGAAACGAGAGGATTTTTCATAAGTCCAGTGAGATCAAGCTTTCTAGAATAGGGTTTAGGGTTTTAGATTTAAAATTTAGCTTATATTTTATTTCACTTTCTAAACTAGACCCATTGTAAAATAAGTTTATGGGATAATTTTGAATATGTGTCCCGTCATTAAATTCAAGGAAATACTCGGGGAATAACAAGATTGTAACAAGAAAAAATACCCAAAAGTGAAACCTTTGGCTATTTTAATAATTCTACTACATGTGGTCCATTACCATTTCACATTTTGAAAGGGTCGTCATATATATTATGTGATTTTTATTTATCAACAAATTTTATTGCGACAATAAATATTTAATGCTAAGGACACATCATCATCATCACGTTATATGTTGTGATGATGCATCAACATCTTTGTTCGTTGTCATTCTATACCATTCACGACTCACACGTTTCTTTTATGCTTTAAAGTGAATTCCAAAAATATCAAACATAATATTGTCAACAACCCACAAAAAAATGCAACTAATTTTCCAAAATCCTAAACTCAGAAATTTGGCAGACACGTAATTCTACTGCAAATTTCAAAACAAAAATGCTAAGCTCTCGTAAATAAGGAATCTTTAATGGTGATCAGGACAAGATTCCTCCTTACTAATGAGGAGGTTAGTATTTTCTATTTCAAAATAGGTTGTTAACAATATTATGTCTGATTGAATGATTAGTTTCGATAACCATTTCAGTTCATCCGGTAAATAAACAAAGTGTTCCTAATATGATGTCTGTGATATAGGAAATGAACCACTAACAACTACTATTATCATCCATGGTTGATTGGTAGAATTTACACCCTAATTTTAAAATGTACAACTGTGCATAGTTTTACAGTCATTTAATAAATAATTTTAGAGAAAACATATTAACTTTTACCTTTGAGTGGGTATGGTGCAGCAATTTTTGCAATAGCGCCCTTTCAATTCAGTCAATCGAATCTTAGAGTTGAACACATGTTGTTGCAATTTTTACTCTAAATTCACTCACTAATTTTAATAACATGTAAATAAAAAACTCTCGAAATTCATTGATTTTAACAAACAGAAAATTAGTAAGTTAATGCACAAGATCCCAGACTCATAACAAAAATCTAATTCTAATATTGTTATATATTTTTTGCCGAGAATTTTTCATTACAAACAATAATAAAAGGGATTAGTAATGAGCTATTTAAAGATCCTAATTACATAAAAGGAAGGAATGTATAGAATTTACAGCTTTGTCAGGTATCAATCCAGGGTACCCATCATATAAATTACTTGTATTTACAAATTTATTTTAAATTCATTTTAATATGCAAAATTGATCAGTTGGAAGGTTATAATTTAGATCCCATAATTTTAGGTAAATGATACTTTACCAAACAAATTAAAACATCAAAACATTAAAAACAAAACCTTAAATTCTTCAAAATTGAAATCATAACCTCCCAAAATATCTCTAAATCCCCTAAAAAAATATCTCAAATTCGAAATCAAGAACTTTTTTCGCTTCATCCATATGAGAAGTTTAAAATTCAATTTTGGAGGACCCTCTCTACATTACTATAGGATATATGCGTTTATATCTTCTTATATACAACTATAAGATATATACACATATACAATATATACCTATATATACAAATATAATCAGGAATACTAAGAATAATGAGACATTTAGAATTTCAATTTTCTATATACATAAACAAAATATATCCTCATATATACCAAACTTAAAGGAAGACTAATAATTACAAATGGTATGGAAGACCATTTCTACAGAACTATAAGATATATGTATACACATATAAGATATATTCATATATACAATATATACCCATATATACGAATATAATCAGGAATATTAAGACTGAGACGTTTTGAACTTCCATTTTTTGAACTTCCATTTTCTGTACACATACATAAAATATATCCCCAAATATACCAATCTTAACGGAAGACTAATAAGTATCAATGGTAAAAATAGAAGGGGACAGGAGACGAGGAACGCGTTGTCGACGGAAACTTTATTCAGCGACAGAAATGAACGACGTTGGAAACGTGCAAAAGAAATAAATACCTTGTTCATAAAAGCCCTGAAGATGGAAAATGAAGGTCTGGCTGTCGATGTCTTTGCACGTTGGAAACGAAGACAACGGAAAATCGGCAGTAAACGAAGAAATCGAATCTAGCAGCAAAAATATTCATTTAACAAAATTGGAGGTTGTTAATTGGTGAGAGAAAAAAATCTTTTTTTGAAGGAGAGATTTGAGGAATTAAGGTTGAAATTTTGAATGGATCCACAAGAATTAAATGAGTATAATTACAAATTAAGGATTCAAATCTTTAAAATTTAAAAATTATAATAAAATAAAAAGCAATAAGGGTAGACTACATTAAAATAAAATCCTGCAAATATCTAAAAAGTGTAAATTTTGAAAACTAAAGACATTTATGTAATTAAAATTTCAAAATAGCCCACACAAGATATTATCTCGTAATAAAATTATATTCCAATTGACTATCTAAAGAAAATAAATTATACTCTAATTAACTATCTAAAGAAGATATTAATATCTTACCACTTCTACTATAACAAGGGGAGGGGGATTCAAGCTCTCAACTTCGATTGGATCTAATGAATTAGATTTCATCTAAATTGACTAATTTTTTTCCTTCCACATTTATAAATGACAAGAAGTCGACATTTAGTCGGATTTAAATACCTCAATCGATTGAATTATGTTTAGATTGAACGATAAAGATTATATCCTTAATCTTTTTTTAGGTTGAAAATATTGAAGATTCATGGAACACCAGTTGGTAATAAAAATAAAATTAGGATTATTGTTGGGGATGATAGTTGAAGACAATGGCAGCATCTTTATCTCCACGGCCGCTGCAATTGACAACCACCTTACAACCGTTGGGCAAACTGGGGCAGAGCTTGTCAAGATAAGCGAAGGCATGTGACGCCTCCAACGACGGGAATATGCCTTCTAATCTACACAGCCGTTTGTACGCCTCAAC